GGCCCGGAGCCGGCCCCGGCAGGAAACAGGTGGGATAAATATTTGTGCAAAGCAAGTGAAACTCCCCTTGAAGGCCATGCAATGTGTTTCCCTCGCAGTGGTTATGAATGGGAAGGTAACGAACCAGCACTGCAGCAGGTGCTGCCAGGGCGGTGTGGGACCAGCGCTGCTGCCTTCCCAGGGAAAGTGAGCCCATTACTCTTGCTACACCAAGGCAGGCTCAGGAAGCTGCTGGGGGTGCGGGAAAAATCAGCCCTGGAACGACCCAGGCACTTCATTGCTGTGGTTCAGCCTGAGGCCCTTGGGAGCCCTGCAGCGTAGGGACTAGCATACCCAACCCCAGGTGGGACCACCACATCAGACCCCATGCTGGTGGGACAGAACAAAAGCTGTACAGTCCCACCGTGATGTTTCCAGAGATCCAGAACCCTATGTAAGGCTGGTTAAGAGAAAGCACCAAGGGACCATGTGGGTCTGGTGCCCTCTGCAACCAGCATGTCACTGGAAAGGATGTACTGTTGGGGAGGGAGCAGATCATAGAATCATAGGATGGTTTGGAAAGGACCTAAAGATCAACTAGTTCCAACCCCCTGCCAAGGGCAGGGATGACTCACACTAGATGCAGAAGCTCTTTCTCTCCCCTTGGAGAGGTGGTCAGGATTTGACCCTCTCAGCCCACCAGCATCAATGCTATGAAGGAGGGGAAAATGCACTGCAGTGATGCTGCTCCTTCCCCCCCAGGAACACTACTGCGGGAGCCTGCTGCTGTGGCACCTGTTTCCAGTGGTGTACGGATTAATTCAGAGGCTATCTTCAACTAGAACTAAAAACTGAACAAGACTGAGATCTCCAACAGCTTCATCGGGCTCATTTCAGAGCCAGGCAGTGGGAAAGGAGTGGGAATTTCTGTCTCAATCAGTGCGCACGGGGAGCCGGGACAGCACAGGATACAGGCGCCTCTGAGCTAACACGCACTCATTACAACCCCGACATCTGCTCTCTGACCTCTTGTGCTCCGACTGCTGACAAACCTGCCCCGGCTGCCTTCCCCCCTTGGACTTCCTCCTCCTGCCTGCAGACACCGCGGGCTCCCCAGCGAGGGGCAGGTGGGAGCCACGGGCACCCGCGCCCCTCCCCGCGGCGCTGCGGAAGCTGATCCGGTGATTTGGGACCGGAGGGTGGGGACGGGCTCCGCAAACCAACGAGGGTTGCACAAGAGTTTGCTTAAGGGCTTGTGACTGTAGCCTCATGCTCAGGTGCTCCGGGCAGGCAGGGAGCAGCCCTGTCCTGGGGGCCAGGGCTCTGCATCCCCATCCAGGCACAGCTGGACATGAGATGCTGCAGGAGTGCTCTGGGGACCACCACCACCCCCTTGGACACTGGACCTGCTAGATCCAGCCACAGCAAAGAGCCAGCTGCTCACATCCCCGTGGGGTTTGCAATCCACCCAGTAGAAACCAGCACAGCCGATGCAATCCATTCCCCTCTTCTACCTCTCTCCCTTTTCCCCCGCCCTCCCTCTCATTCCCCCCTTCCCCCAAAAGCTCTTTGTCTCCGGGCTCTGTGGAGGAAGCAGACCTTCTGAAAATAAACTCTTTCTGCTTTGATCTGGTTTATGGGCACGCACTGTTTATAGCTCCGTGCGTACGACTTGACACCTTCCCACCTGCGGCCCCAGCAACTGCTTCTTATCACAGCCACTTTGGATATTAACAGGCCAGCAGGGAGGCAATCTGGAGGTCCCCAAGGCCCCCGGCCTACCCCCACAGCCCAGCACCCTCTCCAGCCACTGCCCCTCCCCAGGCAGGAGGGAGACCTGCTGGTGTCCCCCTGCATGTGCTAATTGCATCAACCTATGTTTATTGGGATGTTTATCTAGACTAGCAATGATGGGAGGGTCTTCATAGGTCAGATCCCCACAGGAACTGGCTCACTTTGACCTGTGCTTTCAGCACATCCCAGGACGGTTGGGTTCCCATGCCTTCCTTCTGACCTGGTGGATATACACATTCAGGGAAGAAGGACAGGAAAGGCCTGGAAAGCCCCAGATTCGCTTTAATTTGACATGCTGAAGTGTATATTGAAGTAGGTGTCACCCACCTGCTCTGGGGACTGGAGCCCATTCAGGTTCCACAGCCTGGCTGGGTCAGTACTGGTCTGCTTCTCCATCACTGGAAGGAGGGCAAGTACCTCTGCTTTCTCTGGAGCCTGTTTCATGACCTCTCTGCTATAGCATCCTGGAAAGAGCCCGAGATGCTGCAATAAATGAGTCTGTTAATAAACAGCATCAAGCCTGGGCTGTGCTTACAATCATCTTTTATCCAGGATTGCCTTCAAAACACCCACCAACAGGACACCTCTGTGGCAACACGAAGTGGTGACATGTACCCAAGAACAGATCCAGGCACGTCCCCTGTGAGGCCTGGCCACACACTGCTCAGCTGGGCTGCACCAGCAGGGATCAGGGAATTATAGTTGACAGCACAGAAGAGCTGTCAAGGTTTTGGACATCTCCCCTCCAAAAAGCTGGGAAGAGAATTGACATTTCAAGGCTCATTCCCAACAGAAAGCCTTGAACTAGACCAGCTTAAGTCAGTTCTTCCATCCTTATTTATATGCTTCCAAAATACTGCGTTTTCACTTTGAACAGACAGAATGTTTTTAAGTGCATTTAATTACCTAACATTTCATGGGGAAAATAACTCATTTAGGCTAGGCAAAAAAAAAATACGTTTTTGACACAGTTGCAACCATGGGGGCATATTTTCGATTATGAGAAGTTAATCAGAATCAACTTTTTTCCACCATATTGCTTGCAGCACACCGAGTTTTCAGTTAACAGCATTTCCCTAAAACATTCCCAGTTGGCTCCAGTAGCAACACTTACATCATACCTCTTGCTGCACTAAAGGAGATGGTTGGTAACACTTGAAACTCCCATTTAAAGCTGATACAGAGGCATAATGGGGGGTGGTGGGACGGACATGACACTCCTTGCCACAAGATACTTGAGGTCAAGCACCGCTGCTGTCAGAGGCAGGTGATGCTGACTGCCCCGGGCACGCTGTGCTCAGGGCAAGGGGCTCCAGGTCACAACCCTGTGCTGGCATGCCTGAGGGGAGCAGGGAGTTCCTGCCCGTGGGGCATGGGCTCGGCCCAAGCACCTGCTCCAAGGTCTTGGGATGGAGTTTCCTAATCTCCGGGCAGGCTAATGCAAGCGGCATGTTGCACAAGTGGCTGTTATCGGCATAGTTTGGGGCTTAGTGGTGGCGCTGTGAGGGAGGGGATTGCTCTTGGCTGTGGAGCGCTCCAGCCTGCAGCCAGGCGCCAAGGCTGGGGAACAGCCTGCACTGTCGTGCTGCAAGCCAACAGCTCCAGCACAGAGACACATGGAAAAGAGCCCAGAAATCCCAAGGCTTGGCCCGGCGCATGGAGTGACTCGGTCTTGGCATTCTTCCCTCAGCACACCGCTGCCTTCCCAGGGATCCAGCCACCCTGCGGACCACGATCCCCCAGTGTGGCAGGACCAACACCTGGAGCTGCTGTCTGGAAGTGGGAATTGTCATGTAAGACACCCAGGGGAAGGTCTGATCCTGCTGTGCACCAAGTCCCACACAGGCTCTGCACCATGCATCTCTCAACCTTTGCTATCCACCCCATCACCTGCAATCCAAACCCCAGCTGGGTTGAGCACGAGAGTCCCCACCACCTCCCCAGGGAGCACATTAACGGCAGCACCCCTATTCAACCCAAACTCTGCCCCTCTCAGTCAAATCTGGCCCTTCTCTAGGGCAGACACTTGCTAAGGCAGCACCACATAGGCAGGATCTAGCTGTGCTTCATGTATTAAATATTTGGGGGACACCGTACGGGAGCAGCTACACTGGTGGCAGAGGGACCTGCAAAGCCACGTGCATGGGAGGACAAGTTTTGGCGTGACCAAAGGGCTGCAAAGCATCTGGCATGCTTCCCCTTTTTCTGCTATTAACTTTTATCAGGGTAACTCACAATTGTTTGCTGTGGCTGCAGGAATGCCCTCATGATCTGCTACAGCATGAGCACACACAGCCTCACAGCACCCACAGGAGAGCTGAGCACTCACAACAAGGTGCTGGCTGTGAAATAAGGCAGGGGTTAGCATCACCTATGAACCCCAAACAACTACAACAGCAGAGGAAAGTGAGGCAGCTCTTGTTACAGAGCCTCCTGAGGACACACCATCACAGGCAATAGAGGAGTACTGATATCCAGGGGGTTTAGGGCTACTCCCAGGCCCTGGAGTGAGCACACGGAGCACGACTGGACAGTGTGCCCATGGGTGCATCAAGAAGTCAGCTGTATGTCCCCATCAACCAGGGTCCAGTGCAGAGGCACCTCTCCTTTCCCCTCCCCAGCTCTGTGCTTGGGAAGCAAGGGCCAGCATCCAGTGGCCACATGCCCAGATACATGCATGGGGGGAACAGGGCTTGGCTCTGCTCATGACCCCCCTCCCCCCCATATTACTGGCCTGGGGGTCTCATGGCCAGGAGTAGTGATGCCCACGCTGGCTGCACACCATCAATCACTGCTCAGCCACTCGGTGCCTCCCACCCCGAGAGCTTCTTGAAAGAAACTCCTCATTTTCAACACCTACTTAAGGCTCTTGAGGCCGCGCCACTGCTGGCAGACGTGAGCTCATGCTGGTGCTCACAGGCATGTGCTGCCCTGCCCCAAGGCTTACACCCACAGCAAAACAGCTCCCCACTGCACCAGAGGGCACCAGGTGAGCCCCACCTGAAATGCAAAAGGCAGAGTCACAGACAGCCCCCCCACTGCCTGTGTGGATCTCAGAACCTCATGGTTTAAATAGGAAAGCTCCTCCTCTGTGCTCAAGTGTATCTTCATAGTCTATTTGAAGATGTGGGTATTAGTAGGTGTCCCCTAACTGGGGAGCACAGGAAAGACCCTGTGTTTGCATCCCCAGCTGATATGAGAACAACATCACCAAGTCTGTGACTTACCAGCACAAGAGTTGGAAGTGAGCTTCATGCTTCATCTCCACAGAGAGGCCCTGCTGCCTTGGCATACCCACACTGTAGAGATGGAGCATGGTCCTTAGGATAGTGCTCCAGCCTGCCCTTAGGCAGCCCAAGACCTTCCCTCCCCAGGTGATACCCAACAAGGGCAGAGCTAGAGGAAGGTCCTATTTCAGTGGGAAGCTAAATGAGGCAGATGGCTTTCAGCTGCTCCTGTGACAGGGTGTGAGCAATCATGCTCTGAAGCTCCTGCTAAAGGGTCACTGTGCTTAAACACCACCTCCCTACAGGCAGCATCAGCCACAGGCAGTGCTGTATCCCAGGGTACACATGCCACCAAGGGGACTACTCTGGGTACACAGAAATCGGGTGGTGGCACCCAAGGGGAGACTTGCCCTTGTCCCCGTGTGTAGAGGCTGGAGCTGACTGTAAGGCAAAGTCCATCCCTGCTCTGGTGCCACCGCAGAGGGGCAGTCCCAGCACCCTGGGTTGGAGGAGCGGATGGCTCTCTTGGCTGCCCACCAGCCCTTGGCCACCACAAGTGTTTTCTTCTGGCTGGCCGCAGCCCTGGTGGTGTGTGAAGGTCCAAGCCCCGGGGGAGGAAAGCCTTCGGTGATTTCCTCCTGCTCTGCACAAGCCACGCTCCTGTGAACACCACATGAAAGGGCTGAGAGGGCACAGGGAAAGTCCCAAGAAACAAAAAGCTTTGTGCCCTGGAAATGGGCTGTCTTGCCAAGGCAAATCAATGCTGCCCAGCCAGAGGTGCCAGGTTGTGCCAGTCCATCCAGGCAAGAGATGCACACAGATGTGTGCAGGGCCGCTGAGCAGCCCCAGTGGTGCACGGGTTTCCAAGACATTTATGGTGTACAAAGCAGAAGAGGGGTCTGATCTGGTACAGAACATGGGTCTGGGGTGAGGTCCACTGCACCCTACAGAGTTACCACATGCCCCAGAGGAAAGGCAGGAGCTGCTCAGCATCATGGACAGACCGAGTCTAGGTGGGGATAAAGGGGTTAAAAATCCAGGAAAAGCTGCAAATGGATTTCACAGATGGCCCTTTAGCCACAATTGCAGACCTTCGAAGGCTGCACTCTCCGGTTGTGGGGGTCCCTGGACCCCAGTGCTACCCTGCAGGCCATGGGGAAAGGGTCTGGCCAGCTCTTGGGGACTCCCATCCCCTCCAGCACCCCCGGGAGGCAGCTGGGGCAGAGGCTGGGACACAGCAGCCTTGGTTTCAGCTGGAGGCATGGAAAAAAGAGAGATGAGGTCACTGCAAAGCGGTCGTGTAGGATGTGATACAGGAGAGGAGCGGGGAGCATGGAGGAACAAGGAGCTATTGTAACCTTGCAGAGCAGGGGAAAAGCCAGCTGTGGGGATGGCAGGTCACCTCCTGCTCACACCAGACATTCGGGGGGTTAACTTGTCTGGGGTCACATAAAACAGCTCTAGAAGAGGAACTGATAGAAAGAGGTGGTGGAGGGTGGTAGATGCATTGACACAGCTTTTCTCTTCATTGCACCATCCCTGCTGGGATGCCTGTTGCAGTACAACAGGTACTGGTGCAAACAGCTCAGGTACAGTGAAACAGCTGGAAAACACCTGGCACAGCGCTGGAATGCCATGTGAATGTATCTGCCCTATTCAACCCCATCCTTCCAGCCTCTAGGGCATTGGCCATGGGA